GAATGGAAAGATTTTTTTTTAACTGCGTGAGGCTCTTGCGTAGCATGATGAGCGTTTGTTTTAGACGGCACTAGCACCCTGCTACATAGCTTTTTAAATGAACAGCCAAGGTTTCGGAGAAAACCTTGCCAGACGCTGTCAGTTTGAGCAGCTCTAGCAAAAAAACAAACCTGAAAACACGCCAAGCGAAACAAGGAAGCAAAACAGGCTACGAGTATTTCAGGAGGCCCGTTGAGACGACAGACTAATAAGCTGCCTTCTGCAGAACGAAGGAGTTTAAGCATAGGTCTTGCATGCGTTACTTGGCCACTGCAGGATATTGTGCAACTGCAACCAGGCAAAGCGCAGTACGAACACACTTCAGATGCACACAGTGCTTGTACAGAGATCACACCTATCGAGGCAAATGGCTCTACCATTGAGCCCAAACCTTAAACCTGGCTGAGCCTGAGCCACATTTGGAAGGTTTAGAGTTGGCACTTAGGAGCATAGTATAGACAGCAAAGCAAGTTGTAAGAAATTCCTAATGGTCCAGAATGAAGTACATAAGAGCACCCAGCATCACGTTCTTAGCTGACCGCCAAGCTGAAGCAGAATAAATGCTAATGTTGGGTTTCTTTGTGGCTTGAGCAAAAGACTTTTGCCTTCCGGAAAAATGTTATATGACATTAATCCAATTTGGAAGTGCTTCTGTTAGCAAATGCTATGATGTCTATGCTTTTCATGTAATAATGTTCACATAAGCAAAATCTTTGCTAATGTACCTCTTTCTACCCAACAGAGATATGATCATAATAAAAATGAGAAAATTCTTCCCATCAGCCTTGAGCCATCTTCCAGCACTGAGCCAACCCAGTCCAACTTAAGGTAGGAACCTGCCCAGTTCAGGTGTGGCCACATCACTCAACCCAGGACCATGACACCCTTTGACATTGCTGGGATTGGAAAGGGCTCATAATCTCTCTGCTTGCTTGCTCGCAATTGAAAAGATAACTAAGCAGTGTCTTTTTTTAACGGGAAACAAAATGCAGTAAAATATTTTTTTTAGAATTTTTGACATGTCAGTTCCACATTTATGGAAACATGGAACCACCAAGATGCTTAAAAAATGTTGGTCATGTAACCATATCTGACCGAGGGAGTCCCATGCCTTTTTAAATTGGTTTCAGCAGTATTTTATATCTGTACCAGATTCTAGAGACTGTGCCTCAATGGTCTGCTCCAAGCAATAATTTGAATACCTCATTTTTAGAGACAATAAAAATTCTCACACCTATCGTGTTAGGAGACTGTTCTGGGTGATAAGAAGGTGTTCTGTTCCTCATAATTTTTCTGGAACAGAAGTGAAAGTGGTAGTGCAAAAAATCACTAGATGTTTCTCATCAGGATAGTACATCTTGTCTTGAAGGGAGATTTGGGGTGTGGTGCAAGCGCAAGGCTGAATATATATCATTCGGGTGCACAGAATACAGTGAAGAGGTAGCTTTTGGAGATTTCAAAAATAGATGGGTGAGGAATTAATTCCTAGTCTTTTGCTCTGTCCTCTTTGTGACTGACTCTTGGTTCCTTTGTTTTTTAAGTGAAAGTTGGGTAATTTCACTGCTTTGTTGTACTCGTTGTTTGCCTGCGTAGTAACTGGATTTAGCCACTTCCTGAAAGCAAGAATTTCCTTGGTAGAAAAGTTGAACATGCTAAAATAAACAAAATTGCAAGGGCAACATAAGTGTTATCTGCTATGGTATTGGATCTGAAGAAGCAAATTGAAGGGGGAAAAGTCTGTATAAAAGGGGCGGGGAAAGTTAAGAAGCCATGTCCTCTTGACCAGTATAAATTCCTTAAAAACGTTAAGATGCACTTATAGAACTTTTAAATGTCTAAAGTATCACCTGGACAATAGAGAGCATATAGACTGCTGGCCTAAAACAAAGGACTGGGTGTTGGGACTAGCGAGCCTTTGTCTAAGAAATGTCATGTGGGTCAAGTCCTTAACTTCCTAGATTACCTAAATCACATGCTGCTGTTTAGCTACCTCTCGGGGAAGCTGAAATGTTTAATATTTTTCCATACTGGGTAGGACAGTGTTGGTGAAAAGTTCCTGTGAATTTAGGGTGGCAAAGCTGTCCCTTTGGGGGGGGGGGGGA